CATTGTTACAGTGCGACAAGTGAATTAAAATTATTCATAAAAATTATATGCAACACACATAATATTAAAAATTATATAACGAATATTTACATAAAAGGATAATTTTCTACTTTAAATAGTAATAATATTACCTATATTTTTAACAAGTTATGTTGATGGAAGTTGTAAAATAAAGGTACCGATTAATTATCATTAAATTAATTTCGTTTTAGAAAGAAAAGTTTATCAACTTTCGTTTTCCAATAAGTGTTTATTTATTATTATACAATTAATTAAAATAAAAAAGGAAAATATATATAATAATTTTGTTTCACACTTAGATTATGGTCTACAAAAACGTATAAAATATAAACAATAAAGCTTTCGGATTGTGTAAACCGAGATTATATTCTCTGTGATCAAAATAAAGTTTACGAAGACAAATTAAATTAGATTAGATTACGAATTAGAATACACAGTAGGAAACAGAGGTACGCAACGTTTGTTTAATTTAAAAGAACAAGTAAGGTTGTTACTTGACGGCGTTTTTAATTAAAAATTTTATGTTAATCAAGCAAAACTGTTATACTCGCGAATCACAAAAAATGGTCGTAATGAATTGAAAATAAATGAATATATTTTAACAATCGTATATTCTCAATATGTATGATACGTACAGATTAAATGTTAATGTATCGAGTTGTTACATATAATTTTATTGCATAATAAAAAATAGGAAGTATATATTTGCAACATTTATTCGTTCGCGGAGTAAAAAGCATGGACGATATCGTCTGTGTCAAAATAACAATATTCGTTTGGCTTGGATTAACAGTTGACTATGTATTATATTGTATATGACTACTTTTATATATATGACTAAACTGCACAAATAAGAAAAGATTAAATACATTATGGCTGTAACGCCTTCTTCATAAATATGTACCGAAATGTACATGTAACAAATGTTTCTCGCAAAACAATTATTTATCTTACACTGAGAAAAAAAGTGTTAAGAACATATTTCTTGACTCATTATCTACTAAATGCTACGATCAATGACTTAAGCAAACTTGATTATTAAAATATATGTATCGGTATATTTTTCAATAAATTATATTTGATAAAAAATTATATTCGATTTGAAGAAATGCTGGGTGCTAACTAAACACATTCAATGATATCAACATTTCTTTTCTCAGTTCAAGTGTACGAATTCACGCGTGTAAATCCGTACATTTATTCTTAATTATAATATCCATTAGCAGAGAACTTGAGATGAAAAGATTATGAAATAAACAAGAATAAACGAAAGATATTTTCCCGTGCAGAAGTAAGAATACCGAAGCGTTTGTAAAAATTCGAAGATCACTGCTTTACACATTTTCATCCAAGTCAGCTTCTGGAATCTAAACTCATATCTGTTAAAATTATCATTTTGCTCTTCTTAGTTCAGATAACATTTACAATTTATCTCGAGACAAACGTTCATCTTACATCGTTTGCAAATAAGTATCTATTGTACATAAAATTGCTTGCATTTTTAATCACAAATATCTCGAAAGTACGTCGCATCGACTAAAAATATTTCAACTGGTTTCATAGTTTGTTTCGTATAATTTATTGATAATGACCTCCGCTTGTAATCGATCGCTCTCATTTTTTCTCGTCGCTGATTAACGCGGCCCTTAATCATCGTCCTTCTTCTGTATCGTTTGATTCATTCTCCTCTCGCAACCGACAATGTGGGCGTTCAGAACGAATCTGTGCTTGAATCTGCGGCCGCATATGGGACATACCTCACAAGGTACGACACCACACTCAAGCCGCTTGTGTCGACTCAAAGATGTCATGGCCTTGTACGATTTTCCGCATCTGTTACACTCGTACTTGGAATCGCCCGTACTCTTCTTTCGTTCACCTCTGAGCGAATCCATCTTGTACGTCGATCCACTCGCTCCACGATGACTCCATTCGCTGTTGTCCTGCATTAGCATCTGCGCCAGAAGACCTGCAACGAGAGGACAATGTGGTTAGACAATTTGTTTCACATTACGTCGTAATGGCAATGCTCCTTTGAACCCGAAATAGAAATCGAACAAAGCTAAAAATATGGACGGATTAACCAAACTACGATTCCTTTCATTTTTAATGAATGGAATGTGAAGTCAATTAAAGATACAAGGATTATACAGTCTCGGTTGCCTATGTCTCTCTGCAGCCTGACAAAAAAATTATTTCCAAAACTGTGAAAGTAATCCGAGAGGATACAATTTGCGGAGAGTAAGCCATATATACGAAAATTGCGAAATTACTGCTTTGTAATTGAGAAATCCAAAAAAGGAAATAGAGAGATAAGAAGATTGAAGTGTAACTATTGAAAAGATGAAAGAAATGTGTAAAACGTGAAAAATTAAAATTACGGATTATTATTGGTAATTAATTTATCGTGAGTATCTAATGAACGATTAATGCATCAGGAACTTTTCATCACTTCATCCATTATTGCTAGTGTCTGGTAAGTATTGCAGTAATTAAGTTCGTGCAGTTAGGACTTCCATTTCCGACCGAAAAGTCAAAAAAGTTGTAAAGGAATGTCATTGATAAAAGTGCGATGATGCAGAGAAAATAAATTACGAAAAAATAGCGGAAAGAAAAATAAGGTGAAGAGGTAAAAAAAAAGAAGACATGCTGTTGCGGATTTTTATGCAAAGTAGAAATCATTACTAGTAATACAAATTTTTAGATATTAAAAGTAGGCGTGTCAAGGGCGGAAATAATTGAGCAAACGTAATTTACATGAATTTATTACATCATCAATAAATAGATTTTTGGTTAATTTATTAATCCAAATGTACACTTGGTTTGGTATTGTAAATTCAGTTTTAATTTTCATACAACAAGAAATGATAATGTTACTATTTTTTCTTTAATAGTTTATTGTTTAAAAACAGTGCTTGCATATTACTTTTACGTATAAAGATGTCACATATAATGGAACTACATATATTTATTCTCTTAAAGTCTTAGATTCTCAAATAATTACATACATCTAATTAAAAAGAAAATCCACTTTAAACAGCAAACGTTTATTATTTGTTTCTTGGTATCCTAATAAATAAAAATCTAATACACTTTATCAGATATATAAATATATATAAGCGTCTATAGAAATATACGATAACGATTTATCATACTTAGCAAACAAAACTTATTATACTAAAAATTCTAAATATCTGTTAAAAATAAGATGATTAAATGAATCAGATACATCATATCTTGATACAATAACCGTAGCACAACTTATAGTTACTTTCTGTACAATAGTAAGAAATAGTACTCTTTAACAATATGAATGAAAATAAGATTGGGATTCTTTTAGAAATATGTAAGTAATGCTTTCAATTACATCATACTTTATTGTGTCAGTTTTGATATTACATACCGAATGGTAGCAAACTGCCACCATTACGATCTTAATAGTAAAATTTCGAAAAATTCAGATTATGAAAAATATTAGTTTTAAAATAAACTACCGTACATTACACATTACACAAATTACACATTACCGTAACGTCATCCACACAGTCCAACGCGGCTCCAATTTTTTACTTTCTGACTCATCACGTTATATTCACTTGCGCCGAGTTTTTTGTACTACCGTCTCTTAATTTATTGTAATGTTACACTACTGACTGCGTAATCTCTGTATATTTCTAATTCGCGAATCAATACCATATATGTATTAAATTGTATTTATTTCTTCGTTATACTGAGGCTAAAGTAATTTTATCGGACACTACAACCTTGTTCAGGTTCTGAGTCCCTTCTCTTATTCTTTGATTTTAAAATAAAGTCTTTTTCGCTCTCAATCGTCGTTTAAACGTGATTTAACGACATGAAATTATTTCGAATTTCATTAGAATTTTTACTAAATCATAATGCAGTTTTACGTCAAAATTACTCTGGTCGATCAGCACTAACGTTAATTTATAAAACGACATCTAGAAGAAAAATTAACTTATCACATCATAATCCCGAGAGAGAATTCACTTTCCTTTACGACATAATAATCCAGAAAAAAAATAAACTCAAGATCAATTAATACAATTCTGTCTGGACTAATATTAATTATCTTTCTTATAGATAGAAAGAAGAAATACTTCACGCTCTTCGTGAATTATAACGCAGCCGTCGTATCGAGAATCGCTGTCGGCTCATCTAAAACAAAGCTGATCTTTTCCTGCAGGGCCCCGAGTGGTGAGTTAACATGAATTTATACGTGAATTTCTTGCCACATAACAGGCACTCGTGCTTAGGCTCGACGCCGCACTCCAACCTCTGGTGTCTTCGTAAGGACGTTTCCAACTGATAACTCTTGCTGCATCTCGGGCACTTGTAAATCACTGGCTTCTTCGTATATGTCAGTTGCTCTATGTCCTTCACGATCAGTCTCGGGACTAAAAAGTAAAACAGAAAAGCGTAGGAGATTAAATCATCGGTTATAGCAAATGAGGAACATTTATGATTGTTTTGTGGCTAACTGGCTGTCGCACGGAGAGCAGATAAACGGAAAAGCGCTTAAGTCTTTTAACTCCACTGCAGAAGTAAAATATACGTAAGTTGATTTGCTCGAAGCATTTTTTTGGGAGAAAAATGTAACAGATATTTATTATAACTTTAATTTACTGACAACATATTCGGCACATTATTGTATGGATATAAACATTTAATAATGTTAGTATCCACACAATAATGCCGATATTTATATACGTATGAGTTGCACTAGTGATAAAATATATCTGATTCTGCACAAATGAAATCTTTTTTCGTACAAACGATTGTCTTTTTCGCGAATAATATTTCAATAATATTAATAAACGTTGTAATTAAAACATGTTTATATTTTAAATGACGTGGTTTTGGATAATATGCTGCGTGTATGACTGTCCAGATTATGCAAATTGTTTATAAATATTTATTTACCGTAATATCAAACGTAGTTTATGAGGGATATACACTTATCATTATGACTGGAAGAAGAACGCAACAAAAAAACAAGAGACAATACTCCCAATAGAACCACAATAATTTTAGATATTTCTGTTCTCAAAGTAATTCTCAAAATGTATTTTCTATTTACAGAATGCTGAAATACAATACATCATATAAATAAAGTTTATTTTAAACAATACTAGATAATTCACATTATTTCAGGGCAGAATCTGGTTTGTAATTTGTAATATGCTCTGTCTTTTTATGTATCTGTGTATTAATATTATATGTATATTCTTTAAAAAAAAATTTTTTTATAAAAAGATAAGATTATAAATAGAATCCTATCTTTAATTCTCTCATAAATGATAAGTCACTTGAAATGGAGCTTAAGAGAAAGGACAGTTTTTTCAAATAAATGTCACAATGCATATCCACGTGTATATAATCGTTGAACAGATACTACCGCGATACCAGAAATAAAATATATAAAGGAAACAAATCTTTGCATACGTGAGATATTTTTGAAATATTTTATTTCATTCACACCGTTTCGCACCGCTCAAATGCACTTCCGCTCTTTATGATTTCACTCATATAAGCTGTGACAGAAAACTGTGAATGTTATTTGCAATTACATTTTCGATAATATCGAGATTTTATAATTCGACGTTTTAGACTGAATTTCGTATTTACGAGAGAATATTCCGATTTAAATAATGACAGTAAGATTAGTAACGACGAAACGTAGGTACGATTATATAAAAGATACAAAAAAGCGCTGCGCGTTGTTCGTTATTTATTAATTACAATCTTATCAAATAAATAAAGCATATATTCAGTCACCGAGATAATACTTTGATTATTTTGGAGATCAATTAGAAGAGTCCAAATTAAACAATATTAAAGTCACAGTATCTTTTGACAACCGATTAAAATCTGTTCGCATGATAATCCTTTTTGATAATAAATTCGCACGATCGATTGCTTCAAAAGATACTTGTCAAGAGATTAAATCAAATCCCTATAGTAGCACAATATATTGGCGCAATACGTAAATCTAAAATTTCCAACATTGGTCCAATATTGTAAGACGGACTCTTCTCTTATTAGCCAATATATCTATTTAGAAATATTGGTCTAATATTGCGTATCAATATTAGACCGATATTCATATTGTATGTGTCCGGGGAAAAAATGGAAAAATCTCATTATACATATATGTCTCAGTCATGTAATATCTAATTATATCCAATTCTAAAATCATTAGATCTTCAGAGATTTTTTATTGAATATTTAATGTCATTATCTATTGAGATTCGATTATGTTCTCTTAGGACATTTAATTAAATTAGATTTAGTTAGATCTCAATAGTCGAACATTCAAGAAAAGTGTCAAGTCTCCGAGAATCTGATGATTTTTTTAAAGTTGGATTATGAGATATAATTAGATATTACATGATTGAAACATATATGAGGAGATTTTTTCCATTTTTTCCCGGGATTGCTAAACATTGGCCAATGCATTTTCTACACAAATCTAACGTTATATAATTATTATTGTGCAATATTTGCATTTATTCCGTGGGCAACAGTGGCTTTACGTTGGGAAATATTTGCCAATGCATTTTCAATATAACCAATATTGGACCGATGTTTAGCCAATGCACTGTGCTACTGGGGACATTAAATCTAAATTTAAAAACTAACGCCTTCCTTCGATCGCGACGAGAGTAAATTAGAAAGACGTATTGCATATTAAATCTTTGAAAGGAGTAATACTTTTTCCCCGATCACGATGAGCGAGAATTTTAATTAACGTATCGTGCGCGATCGATTCTCAATGACATTAGTCCATCGCAATTGATCGGATTTAATATTTAATTTAACGCGTCTCTCTAATTTACTCTTATCGCGATCGAAGAAAGGTGTCACTTTCGAAATTTAGATTTAATACATCTTAGAATTAATGTGCGACTTCAAATTCGTTACCGAGGAGGATTATCGTGCGAATTTCACGCATGAATACACTTTATGACGTGTTGTTATACGCGCCGAGACCAACGAACTGCCGACGTGTTTACACGAAGGTCACCGCGCTTTTTCATTCTCCTAGGCCGCGCTCTATCATTCGCACGGCGGCGGCCGAGCGGTGCGGCAGCAACGCGAGTCGCTCTACGTTTTCTAAAATTCCCCGTCGTCCGAGACGCAATCGTTGAAATTCATCATCGGGGATTATCGCGCGCGAACTTTACGCACGGGTACGCTTCATAATGCGTGAAACATATTCGGAAATACGCGTCGAGACTACGAGCCGGCGGCGGCCGAGCGGCGATTCGAGGCAGTGACGCGAGTCGCTCTACGTTTTCTAAAATTCCCGTCGTTCTAATTCATCGCCGAGGATTATCGTGCGCGAGCTTTACGCGCGCGAATTACGCTTGGTGACGCGCGAAACGTATCCGGAGGTACGCGAAAAACGCGGGCGCCGCGCGCTAACATTCGCACGAGGGGGGAAGCCGAGGGGTTCTACGATTTTTGAAATTCCCGCCGTCCGAGACGCAATCGTTGAAATTCATCATCGGGGATTATCGCGCGCGAACTTTACGCACGGGTACGCTTCATAACGCGTGAAACATATTCGGAAATACGCGTCGAGACTATATACGAGTTGGTGGCGGCCGAGCGGCGATTCGAGGCAGTGGCGCGAGTCGCTCTACGTTTTCTAAAATTCCCGCCGTCTTAATTCATCGCCGAGGATTATCGTGCGCGAGCTTTACGCGCGAAACGTATCCGGAGGTACGCGAAAGACGCGGGCGTTACGCGCCGAGACGTTGTCCTACGCCGCGCGCTAACATTCGCACGAGGGGGGAAGCCGAGGGGTTCTGCGATTTTTGAAATTCCCGCCGTCCGAGACGCAATCGTTGAAATTCATCATCGGGGATTATCGCGCGCGAGCTTCACGCATGAATGCGCTTCGTAACGTTTCAAATATTGGAAAATACGCGTCGGGACTACGAGCCGCCGGCGTGTTTACCACGAAGGTCACCGCTCTATCTCATTGTCCTACGCCGCGCCCGAACACACTCGAACATTCGCACGGCGGCGGCCGAGCGGCGAGGCAGCAGTCGCGAGTCGCTCCGCGATTCCTCAAATTGCCGTCGCACGAGACGCGATCGGTCCCCGTTAACTGGCATCTAGCGTTCCGCATAATTGACCGAGTCTCACGCCCGATAAACGCATCGACCCTTTACGAGGTATTTCGCATGATTTATCCAGAGACGAGAATCGCAGCGGCGCGCTACGCGGACTCGTCCTCCGCCCGTCTCGTTTCGCGAGGGGGTCTTGATCTTCTTTTATCGTTCGCGCGGATTCGAATCGCGCCCGAACAAGTGTCCCGCGACTCAGGCCGCAGGGCGAGAGGGAGCTTTCAACAGGGCGATGCGCGTTGTCTCTCGCGAGTAATTTAGCGATTGGCGAACGAAGGAAACGACCGCGACGCGCCGCGACCGTTGGCCGGCGGGGGCTGCGGTGCGCTTGAAATTACACGTCGAAGCTCGCGTTTCTTCCCTCCTTCGTTGAAGAGAGACGCTTCGAGGTGTCGAGGGCCGCTCTGCTCCCGAGGAATCGGAAGAGGGACAACGCGATCGGGCCGAAGTCGACGTACATTGGCAAAAGCGGACGTAAACCGAACGACGAAGTCTCCGCGGTCAGTGTCGCCAACGGCGCTTCCGCGTTTCCCGCGTTTTTCCACCCTGCGCGCCCCGCGCGTCACGTTGGCCCCGCCGAGCCGGCCGGCGAGATCGCCCCGGGAGCTCGCACGCGATTTTCAAGCGGACTGGACACTTCGCGGGGATTCGGCGCGGATTCCAAGTGAGTCGCGCGTGCAATATTGTTAGCTGCGTTGGACAACCGAGGCGACGGCGTGCTGTCGTGCGACAAACGTAACGCCAGCGGGAGTTAAGGCCATTCTACAACTGCGTAAACGCAGTTGTAGGGTTGTAGGAGTAGAAGTAGCAGTAAGTGTTGTGTATATTAAAGTAATTATACAATAGAGTGAGATACGTCATAATGGAAGTGAATGATTGGTTAATTTTTCCGTCCTACGTCGTTGTAGTCGTGAAAGATGAAGTTCAGCCATCTTTTATAGCAGGCTTTACAATCGGAGATGCTAGTTTAAAACTGTGTTTTACAACGCTGTACAACCGCTAACAACCACGTTTACGCAATTGTAGAGTGGCCTTTAGGCGCGCCGGCTCGACTACTCGATCGCGTCGCGCGGTGTCGGGACGAAACTTGGGCGAAGCTTTCGGGACCGGCGAGTCCGAGCGGGCTGTATTCTACTCTCGATGGACGAGGGAGCGGTACGGCGCGGCTGGATGCCTTCTTTTCTCGGGGTTACGTCTTCGCGCGCGATCACCCCGGGGGTGAGACGGCTCGTCGACCCGGTGAGAAATGATTCGTCGATCGACGCCGAGACGACGTCGAATTGACGTCGACTCGACGAATCATTTCTCACTGGGGAATCGACTCGCTGGGGTGGAGTTTAACGGGAGTGTCGTTTCCGAAATTATAGTGCGCGTCGCGACGAAGCGCGCGTGTGTTCTCGCGAGTGAGTGCAGAATCTGAGAGGAGGAGCAGGCCCTGGGGGAGGCATCGGGCGCCAGCGGAGCAACCGTAGGGTGAGTAAGCTGTTATTTGTTGTTTTCTTTTGTTTTTTTTTCGTGCGACCGAAATTACTTTTCGGAATATCGAACTCTGGAAATGTTGCTTATAACACGAGGCTTGCATTCGTGTTTTACAGATGGACGTAGCTACAACTCCGCTGCTGGCCGTTTGGTGAGTGAGAAATTGTACTTTCTTTCGACTGCGAGAACTCGTCTACACGCCGGATACATTGGGCGTGCGTGAGACGCGTTCAAATTGCGAATGCAACGGCAGATAAATATTATCCGTCTGTCGCTTCGAGATGGATGGGCTACAACAGATTAGCGTAGAGACCGTTCGTTAAATCGCATGCATAAAAATGCACGAACCCGCGAATAATCTTCGGCAATAGAAAAGTTAAAAGAAAAGGGATGAAAGTAAAATAGATGCAAACTGCCGGAAAATAACTTTGGAATAGAAAAATTGCGCAATCTTATTTTCCTCATAATGTTCACATTTCGTGGACAACGATGCGAGAGAGAGAGTAGAAAAGCGAAAACAGAGAAGGGAGAAAGGAAAGAGAACAGCAAGAACAGACCGATGAGAAAATGGAAAGAAAATAGTGTATTATCAATGAACGATACAAATACATTCTATCTAGAGAGCGTGATAGGGAGAAGAACTCGTTAAACTATAGATTATTTTACTTCCTTTCCCTTCTGAGTATTGCTTTATTAGAATTGAAAGTCTGCGATTGCTTTTCTCTTTTCAATATTAAACATTGTGTAATATGAAATAAGAGAGCGATATTCATAGATTTGTAAAACGCGCATATATTGCAAGATATGCCAGGATCATATGACGTATTCCAATTTATTTTTTGAAAAAGAAAATAATCAGTGTACGTTTTCTTATAATTTTTAATTCTAATCTTTCGTAGCCCATCCATCCGCACTTACCAATAATTTCAATAGAACATTAAGAAAATGGCCGTGTACGAAATGCTTCATTACCTTCGACTATCTGCAATTCGAAGGACAAAATTTAGATAATTGAAGAGACGGGAGGGAAACAATTCTATATTACACCTATATTGAATTTATTAAAGAAAATATTTATACCTTATAAAAAGAAGTTTTCTTCCTGCAAAACGTAATACTAAATAATTAACACGTAACGATCTAAATTTTATTACTGATCAATCGGTCGTATATCACTTAAAGTGGAAATTAATATAACTAATAATAAATCAGCAAAGTTTGTGCAACAAACTAAAAATTATAAATAATACGTATTAAATACGAGTCTGAAACGTCGCACAAACTCTACGCGATATCGCCGACGTACTTTGATCGTTCTATTAAGTCGAAGTCCACCTTTGATTCTTAATTCATTTCTTAATTAATCTCCAAAATAAGTCATTAAACGATGTTTCAAAATACCCCCCCCCCCCGGATGTATTTTACGATAAAAATATTTTGTATATTTTTGTAATGACCGACGAAAAATTTCCGAAAAATAATTATCATAACATAAAGGGAATCGGATGATGATCTTAGCGCGCGATTGTTTCAAAGAATGCAATTGTCGGGCGCATTCTCGGGTTAGCGCGGAAACGAGAAAGAGATTAGGAACATGATTCTTTGATAACGCGTGTCGATCGCTTCACAATTGATTGATCAGCTCGTAGCTCGGTTATACGTTAATATAATGAATCAGTCTGGCGTGCGACTGCCAGCGGTGCTTGTGCTTGAATCTCCTTCCGCAGATCGGACACTCGAAGGTGGGATCTTTTCCGCACTCGACCCGCTGGTGTTTCTTCAACGAGTCCCGCCACATGTACTGTTTACCGCATCGGTAGCAAGACCAGGCTCTCGGGTCTCTTCGGTTAGTTTTCCGATGTCCGTACGCTGAAAAGAAAAACCGGTGATCGTTAAGCTGTTCTCCCGACTCGCGTTTCTCGCTCGCAACATCGAAAGCGCGTGATTTATACGCGCCTTGGTATCGCTAATCTTAATTAATTGTAGTAAACAATCACTGTCTTTACACGTTGCTTTCGAAAAAATTGTTCAATTGGATTCTTTCCTCTCTAATATGTGATATAAATATCCAATACTTTGATACTGGAGATCCTGCGTTGAGTAACGTGTCGCATGTACAAGAGATTTGCGCGTGTATAGGAAAGAGAATATTCTATAGAGAAAAATTGCGCTATAAATTATATCGTACGTACAAAACAATCTCAAAAGAAATTAAACAGAACTTTATTATAAATATCATCGTTACAAATAACGTGACAAAACTGAATTACGGCTTTCAGCAGAACCATGCAGAACTGCGTGGGTCTTGGTAAAAAAAAAAAACATACTTAACGATAAAAAAAAAGTATCAATATGAAACACAGTCGTCGCGAGTTCTTTACTATTTAACTAAAATTTTAAAACATGCAAATTATGCGAGATCAGTACATAAGACAAATTCGAAATAAAAAATATTTATCAATAAACCCCAAATATTGGTTTACGTCGGCCGTCGAATTTAACATAGAGTGCAAAGTGTGTGTTGCATATGGTTGTAAAATTTGTACACATCTCATACATATATTTAATCTGTCTTTTGCCTCTTAAAATAAAGTCTGCTAAAAATACGATATAAATACGGTTCAATATGCAATTATATTACCGTATAACTCTCTTTCTGTCGTTCTGGTAAAAAAATATACCGATTCTCGCAAAGCTTTATCTCTTACGAATTACATTGAACTATATGTACACGCGAATTATAATCGACTGTGTCGTGTCAAGTTCGACGCTGTCACTTTGAGAGAGTGCGCATATCACCTACCGTAAACACACGGCTTTAAGAAACTACGGTCGACCCGTGAAATTTTCATTCGCGTGTACATCAATCTTAAGCTTATCTATCGGCTTACAACTTTATTATTTTTTCGCATTACAAAAGTTCGTTATTTTCTCAGGCCGATAGGACTTGGAAATTGAGTGATATTGAAATAGATGTTGCTTAAATTTGTCCTGCCTGTAAAATTCCCTTTTGCAAAAAACACACTTGAATTGTGCTTCCTTGTTACCGCATTGCAATTGGTGACGACGTAAGCTGCTCAGCCACGCGTATTCGTTGCCACATATTTCACATTTAAGCTTTCGCTCATTTGAATCTGACGTTTCCGGCGAATACATGTCCGTTGTCACTGAACTGCTCCCGTTTGAACTGTCGTCCAGATCTTTAAACTCATAGGAAGATATGCTCCATACCTCGCTAACCTTGAGCCCTGCACATAAATGTTGGTATGAGTGGACGCATTGTACATAAATCGGCAGATCATATTCGTTTCGAGAAATTATCGATATGTACGGTTTCTTCGGGTGAGGGAAAAACAACACAGATTTGAATTTAATAAAAAAAATCTTTATACTGTCTATACACACTATATGATAAATCAGTTAAGTTATTTGAATTCATTCTATAATGAATTGCTTCATTGAGGATTGACGAGTAAAAAGGATCTCGGTCAAAGTCGAAACTGGAGGAGTCGGGAGAATCGGGGAAAAGAAATGATTGGAAGTACAAAAGTGAGAAAGATACCGTGATTTTATCAGCAAGTACAGCCGTGCTTTGGCTAGTGCTCGCTGGAAATTAAAATTAGATTTTCTCCGCGAGCGAACAAGTCTGATAATTTAGAATTTAATTTCGCCCATTTGCTCCGTATTAAAGTTCAGGATTTCGCAACAAAGATCGTGACGAAATACTTTTTATTTGGAACTTAGGGAATGTGCGTCAGGAGATTAACAAATTACATACAGGTTCGAAATCAAAAAAATACTTTATCGATTCTGTAAATCCAAATACTGATCTACACATAAGCCTAAATGCTAAATACGTAATTAATTTACTTGCAAAATTTATCGGCAATTGCAAGACTCGTTGACTTTGTTATTCGAAAATAGATTCGTTTAAAGCTGCCCTCTTTCTTAATCACTAAGTGTCATAAAGAATTTATCAAGGTTTGCCGATACAGTTCTACGTTTCTTCCTTGGCGCTGAAAAATATCGCTTTTTCGCACAAACCCGTCTCGAACTTAAATCCAAGTATTTACACGCGTACGATCCAATCGTTAAACAACTGTACACATATCCTTGCGAAACGTCTCTCACGTTACAATTTAATGCTGTGCATGCATTTCGCGTGCGACTGCCAGCGATGCTTGTGCTTGAACTTCCTGCCGCAGACGGGACACTTGAAGGCCGGCTCTTTGCCGCATTCGACCCGTATGTGGTTCTTTAGGGAGCCGCGCCACAGGTAGCGCTTACCACACTGGTAGCAGATCCATGTCTTCCGCAAGTAGACTGAAAAACAGAAAAAATTGTCGTAGTATTTAGTACCGAAAATGCTGTCTTTTGCGCTACCAAATCGCTCTTCCCTCCCCCTGGCCAAACGTCGCGTTTGCTCTGAACGATATTAGCATGACCACGTGTTACGATCACGTCTGTTACAACTCGAGTTTTTCTGTGAATAAAAGCGCATTAAGCCGAGAAAGTCGCACACGTATCATGGACGCTCATTCTTTAATCGAATATTTCGTTAAAGCTCTCGTTGCTGCAAACTTACACTTGATCCGTCTAATGCATTCCAAAATTCATACTGAAGCGCTACAAGGGAAGGGAGATCTTGTTAAAATTATTCTCTTCGCGTGCAAATTAATTCCGCACGCCTCTAACTCTCCATATAAGTGTGAGGAGGGGGGGGATGGGGGATGTATAGTCACACTTAAGCAGTACATTTTCACCAAATCGCTACAAGAGAATGAAAAGAGATAATTGCCGAGTCTTTATTTTATGATAATGACGAGATCGATCTGCGCCGGGGGTGCTTTTTCACAATTCGTGGCGTTGAGCATTGTGGGATTTGCAATTAGTAGAAGGTGACGTTTACTAGCGAAATAGAACTGAATTTTTATTAATGTCAACAGTTTCGTTCACAATTCGATACAAATAACGTTTACAAATGACGATGTACAAAGGACACTCTGTCTCTGAGTCAAGCTGTTGCAATTAAAGTGTTATCACGGCCGTAAGGCGTGTACATTCGACGTCAGATGCGACTGCAGTCTGTGTTTGTACTTGAACCTCCTGCCGCAAAGAACACAGCTGAATTTGGGCTCCTTGCCGCATAATCGTAGATGGGTGTACATTGAAGACTTTCGGGCGTAAATCTTGCCGCAAAGTTTGCATGGGAACATTATGCTCAGTGAACTTGGACCACCTGAAAAACAGATTATAAATAGTGCGTGTGTGCATACTAAAGCGCATTCTATAGTAAACCACCGTGTCGATTTCTTTCGTACATTCTGCGTCGAAAAAGCAACGCGTGCTATAAAAACGACAGTATTATTTCGCGATTTAAGAGTCTTTCCGAAAGGGGCCAAATAATTTGACAAATTAATAGGATTCGTGCGATAACTTTATCGTAATTAATAGAAAATAATTAGCGCATCTTATAACATTCCCGTTGCTAATAAGCAGAAATTGAAGTTGTTTCTGATCGTTTTGTGATAGAATATATACATATATATTAGTTTAATTTTCACATCAATCACATCACTGCAGCGCGGTTTCGCAGTTGATACGCTTGATGTGAAAAATTTTAATAAAAAGAATATGTTCCGCATACAAATAAGTATAACATACACCTAAAATGTGTGTAAAAATATTTGTTATTATTATTAAAGAAATTGTCACAACAGTATACTGTACACCACAGCAATCCAAAAAAGTCCCAGAGAGCACAGACGTCAAAGAGATGTCCTAGAGAATCCAGAGACATTTTACGTTCTAAGGACATTTCCAAGACGTTCTGCGACGATTTGTGTCATATGGAGTAGTATATGAATATAACTTTTGAGGTCAGACAAAGATTGGGTCGCAATAATTCCGATTGTTTAATTCGCGAAGTGTATGATAGAAAACAATCATATTTCCTGATTTTTCTCTAGTTAATTTATAATTTTCAAGACAAAAAGACTATTAAAAATTTGATATAAACGGTATTCTTTTACTTCACTTAACAACGAACTATAAACATCAATAAACCAAAAATTGCAGAATTATTTTATTTAAACAGACTTATAAAATATAAGATATAAATAGGAGATAAAATCTTCTTTCTCTTGATTTCTCGTCGATTCATTGCTGTAATTCTGAAAAGGGAGAAAATAAAAAAGCATGGATTTGGTTTCATTATTTTATTTAAAAAGAAATGTCCATTATTGTGTTTATCTGTGAACGATCACCACGAAATTATTATAAATTCTTCTACTTTCAATTTTATAAATTTGCATTTTGTAGAAATTTGTATAACAAATTATTAGAATATCATAAAATAAGCAGTATATATTTTTCAGTAATGTAAAGATATAGAAATATAGAAGATTTATCAAGATTATCATAAAAATCGGAAGAAAAAATGACTAGAAAGATTGGGTCGTAATGATTCCGATTGTTAATGATCGTTTTAAGACAGGATTTGAAGCAGA